AATTCCTGATGCGGATAACATTGGAGGTGCTACAAAATAAGAGCAGAAGATGATGACGAGGGTCAGAACTTGAAAGCAACTGTGCCACTTCTGCAACATCCCTCGGAGGCCGCGTATGTTCACGAAACATGAAAATAAAAAGGGCATACTTGTTAGTTTGATACAAACGCAATTTCCTGATGCGAATAAAATTCTAGGTGTTGCTCATGCTTCAAAATCCATGTACAAGGAGATGAAGATGACACAGGCTAGAAATGAAGCACACGATGTAAATGTAAACAAAACAAAAATGAAAAAATCAAGGAAAGGCAAATTAGATAAACTGGCCTGTAAATTTCTACGATCCGGCGCCAAAGCCATAGAAATACTTAGAGCAAACGAGTGGGACGCTTGGGCTGTTTTATTTTCATGCTTTGTGGGAATGCGCGGCCCTTGATGGATACTGCAAATGCAGGCCGAAGGTTGGCCTCTTGAGTTCTGCCCCTTGTTCATCATCTTCTGCTCTTATTTTGTAGCACCTCCAATGTTATCCGCATCAGGAAATTGCGTTTTCCTTATTTGAGAGCGCAATTAAAGGACTTGGCAAAGTGCCAAGGAGCCGCACGCGACAGGCGCGCTTACGACGGATGTTATGAACGGCGGGAATCTGCGCCGTAAAAAGGCAGTGGGCGGAGCATGGAAGAATTAGCGTGTTTCACGGCCCTGTATCTCCATTCCTGGGCATGTTTGGGCGGGGGGACCACGACACATCGACATCTGGGGGGCTGATAGTCTCATACACCCTCAATGTGTATGAGCGTACTATGTGTCTTTAAGGGCGTGAATGGTGTAGTGACAAGTGGCGCGCTTACCACTCGCGCGGTTCCGAATCCCGGGTCGACTCCCGCCCAGGCCAACCAAGCCTTCTACCCTCCGGGGACGGTGAATTGGTACCAGATTCGTCTGGGAGGATAAAACACTGACTTGTACATCGGCTGGCCACCGCAAGTCATTGTATAGGCCACATCGCATTCAATAAGCCACTACGATTCTGAATGGAAGTAGAATGCGTGCCGCATCCCACAAAGGGATTGATCAACGGCGAAGACTTTTTATCCTTTATTATCCGTGCTCAATGAGGTCACGCTATATTTCGCAGCTAGTCTCATGAACCAAGCCTACATCGATGTTGTCAGAATAAACAATATTAAGGAAACCACAAACCTCTTTGAGTTTTAGGACGAATTCCACCGGTGGATTCAAGAAGATAACTTGTCCTTTCTCGCCTTCTTTCTCCAAAAGTGGTTCGCTCACTTTCAGCTTTATTCGCACAGATGAGCTTAGACTGGGACTTCCTGAAGACCGTTCGGCTTTGTAAATACTTCAGCTTCTTCACGACAGGTCTTTTGAACTGATATTTTGATATGTACGGCATATGACTGAACAGAGTCAGCTACTGTTGCCCTCCCTTCTTTGGAGAAGGCGGGAGCATATCACCGCAGAACAAATGAAGGTCAACTGTAGTAAGTTGGCTCTTGCTTACCGGCGTCCTCGGCAAGAACTACAAGCTCGTAGGGTTGCTCTCGGGCTGCTCCAGCTAGCTCTCCTGAGACTGTCAGTTCTCCTGTCAGAGGGTCGATGGAGAAGTCTGAAATGAAATTCGGCTTACAATTAACTAGCACAAGAGGGTTCCATCTTTCATATGTGAGCCTGTATTTTAAGACCAAAGGTTTCAGCCAAAAAACTTTCACTTTTGTAATCAGAATTGTTACAATTTGGTCGGCTTCCTTTCCAAGTTCAAGATGAGCTTTGCAGCACGCTTGGAATGATTGCAACAGTGGACTGCTATGTATTCTGAGAGAAGTGCCTTCAGGACTGAAGCTCGAGCGACGACTGGTTCAGAATCAGTTGAACGCTACATCGAATTTGACAATTCAGAAGTTCTTTCCCTTAGAAGGAGAGACGTCGAAATGAATTTTTCACATATGTAATTCTCTGAATCCTAGGATTGGTCACAAAGAACTCGGCAGCAGAGCAGTGCCACCCAGAAGCCTCAAAATATCAATGACTTATGGACGTCTTAGTGAGTGCACTGCGGTGTTTGAAAAGTTTCTCTGCTGCGAATCCGAGCCCGAAAAGAAGGGACACCGCAGACGTTCTTCCATCTTCAATGGTGGAGGAAGATTCATGTACAAGTGTACGAGAACTTGCTAGAGATGTCGGCGCAAGTATATGACCGTTTCGAAACGCATCGAAAAATTTGGGAAGTAGAACGAGTCTAGCAATTTTGTGACGTCGGAATAGAATGAGCAGCAGCGGAGTCGCGGGTATGCGATGTCTTCAGCAGTACTCCTGCGCAACAGGAACGATCCTTTTCAGGACCGCATTGTGACGTGTGATGAGAGGTAGCCCCTTTTCTTAGCATAGCTGACAGGAAGCGTCCATTGGGTCTAGAAAAACCCTAGCAAGCCTTCTCTGAACCAAAGTTGCACCATGGAAGGCGATGTTCAGTGGTGGATGATCTGTCATGCAATTCTTCTATCGTACCGGTGCAGTGATATTAAATCAGAGGACTTGTGAAATCCACCAAAAACTTCGACGCCACCCCCACTGCTGGAAGAAAAAGACTCTTCCATCTCTACGAAACGAGCGGTGCATAAAATAACATATGAAACATATGGTAGGTTTATATAGTCCATAACGGGTGCTGCAGTTCAAGCGAGCTGACGAACTAAGAAACTATCATCGAAATTTGTCCAAAATATTCGCGAGATCTCCCCCCTCCTCCCCTCACCAAGTCACCAGTTCTTCAAACACCTGTATATTTCTCTGCGCGCGGAATCTCTCATAATTCAGCCCATGTGGGAACCATATCCACCAAATTCGTTAACTGGAGACCGTCAGTATTTCGCGCTGGAGGAATACGTTCTTCTATATCCCTTCTTGATACATATGGTAGGTTTATATGGTCCTTATTCCGTTTGGAGAGTTCCTTCAAGGCCGGGATATTTCGTTTTGAAGTTAGAGCTCGAAAAATTGCACTGTTTTCGGACAACATAATAATTACAAAGTCGCTGACTGTAAAATAGGGGTCTTTACTTTCCAAACGAAAACAGTAGTGATGTATCAAAAAAAGTAAAAATCCTTTGCGCTAGTTGTTACGGTGTTATTGTGCTCACCAGAGAGTCAGGCTTGATGAGCTTGATGGGTAATTTTGCGTTTTATCATAGTGATAACCTTTTCTTTGTGGAATTTTGTTGTTGAGATCCATGCTTTTGTGCCCTGTTGCGTTCTTCGCCTGCAGAAATGCCCAACATTTCTAACAATCAGGCTAATGAGCCCTACGTTTCATTCGCACCCAGAACATCTGTTACATGGTTCTATATCAGCTAAAGAATCCCATGTAACAACATACATTTTGAATTTCCAGACGCTAACGAGTAGACGACCCGAGCGTTTTTCCCAGAGTCCATATCCGTGGCCTTTAGACGGTCGACGATGATGCCTGTGGGCCAATTGTCGACCACTTGCATGGCATACTGGTTTTGTGAGAAACGAGGAGCATTGTCGTTACGTCCAGAAGAAGGATATGAAGCTGCAATCAAATTAACTGAATTTTCGGCTGCGGTTTCAATTTCGGCTCGCTCAGCGAGGAGACCAAATTTCTAGTGGACTGTACCGTAGCTGAATCTTGGTTTCCTGCTCCATCACGGACGGTCAGATGTATTGTATGCCTCTCCATTGCTTCACGATCGAGGGTTCCGTTTTCAGCTACAGCCACTACTAACGTGCCGTTATGCTACAAGTGTTGGACATTAAATATATACACACTGACGAATACAAATACACATTAGAGCGCAGTTCGGCTTGGTGGAGGCACCATATAGTACTGAGCGAAGCTTGTGCAAACCAAGTTATGAAAAACTGCAAAGTCTTGCAGTCAGAGTGTACCTCTTGTGTTATTTTGCAGCTTCACTCGGGCCAACAGACCTTGCTGAATTGGACCTACTTGAGAATAACTAGCAAAAGGAGCTAGCGAAGTGCAAGATGCCCCTCCCAAGCCGAACAGCGCCGTACACGAACGGAGGCATGGAATTCATACAATAGAAGCGGAGTACATCTCGCTACCAATGCCGGACTTCTCCACCGTAAATGTCCCACATTGCTCAATCCATCATCGTCGCTAACTTGGAGGCGCGCGATTATTGTGAGCGGCGGAAGGTTTTCAGGAATCGGGAGCTGAAAATTTACGATTGATAAACAATTGAGGTGCAGCCTGAGAGTTTTTCAGGACACGGTTAGTACCAAGCAATACTTTTCGGGTCTATTTACAGAAGCCCTTGCCTATTGGTATTGCACGGACTTTCAATACATGAGCAACGTGGTTCTTCGTATTTCTAGACAAAAAGAAGCACCTTAAAAATGGCTCTCTTGTAAAGGGTAAGCAGAAAAAGAGAGTAAACCGCTTTTTCTCTCCAGTGACTTGTCGCTTCTTGGGACACCTTAGAAGCGTTCAGACTTCGCGATGCCGCGCGCAGACGCATCATAGGGCGCGTTAGCGCGTTAAACCCACATGCAATGGGGCGTCCCAATGCTACAGAAGCGAACGCAGCCGCAGACGGGAATCGGTCGGCGCTGGCCACTTGTGATTTGAGAGAATAGCGTCGTCGTGAAGTTTATACGCTGTCTTAATGCCAATATCCCTCCAGAGCAGTAAAACTAAAAAACACGAGTAAGGTTCGGAAGAAAGCAGACCTCATTTATTGGACCTTCCTTTTTTTTTTTCTCATATGACGTCGTTATCGTCATATTCACAACGGTGATTTTTCAGCTCCGCTACGGATTTCATATCCATTCGAGCCCGGCTGTGAATTTGAAGGCGACATAAAACAGATCGGAGGCAGCCACTATTATCCACGTCCAGCGCGATGGGCGATACGAAATCGCGACCTAACGCAAAAACAGTTTTTACAGAATGGCTGTTCAGAATTATCGACAGGTCACGAGTACGTGTTGACGCTCAAAAACTGAAAGCGTCTCTTCATAAATCGCCCTCAATATTCTATGACGGAACCAGTGATCCATCCAGGGGATTAACCGCAGGCAGAGTGTAGATAACGTGCCCTTCAGGTAGCTCCTCCGGAATGCTCAGCTGAACCAAAGTTGAGAATATGAAGATGAATGAAACCGTGATAGCACACCCTACCTCAATTACTGGTGTCTCTTTGCTCCCACGGAGTGCAAACTCCGTGACGACTGGCCGTGGCGGACTCTCTTCTACGATTCTCTATGAACTGAGGCGACGAGGTTAGAGAAAGCATGACAGTTGCTGGAATAAGTAGTTGAGTAATAAACAGGGGTTCCACTACAGCACATTTCTCTTGCATCAGTTCTGATTCCACCGTATCGAACTAATCACTTTGATTCCACGCTGAAGTCGCCCGCTAAGTACAGTCGTGATCCCTCAGACTGGCCATCCGTAATTGCGTACTTCACTGGGACGCGACGGCGGCTGCAGTAGGAGTGGCGATCGATGCTGCATGATCAGCTGATTTCAGCGATTAATTTTTCTATTTTGCCTGTATTGCTGGTAAGTAGAGAGGCAGAAGTGAGTTTCATAATTTTTTTTTTTTTTTTTTTTTTTTTTTCATATTATTTTACTCTAATTTGAGGTTTTATTGTATATTTTGCTTTCAGTCGCTATTTGACTGCAGTGACGGTGTTTTTACCCACTTTTTGATTTTGTTTATGTTTTTTGCTTGTGCTTTGAATGTTGGACTGTTCTCCATGGCAGTGTCGTTATGTGTCCTCATTAGTACAAAAAAAAAACCTAAACAAAATCAAAAAGTGGGTAAAAACACCGTCACTGCAGTCAAATAGCGACTGAAAGCGAACATATGACAATAAAACCTTAATTAGAGTAAATAATATGAACTCACTTTTCCTTCTAGTTGGCAGAATAACAGGCAAAATAGAAAAATTAATCGCTGAAATCAGCTGATCATGCAGCATCGATCGCCACTCCTACTGCAGCCGCCGTCGCGTCCCAGTGAAGTACGCAATTACGGATGGCCAGTCTGAGGGATCACGACTGTATATATTAGGTTGTCCGGAAAGGAATGCGCGTTCGAGCTTAAAAAATTTTTTATTATAAAAACGAAATTAAACAAGATAAATTCAAAAGACAATCTCCATTAGTATCAATGACTTGTTGTCAACATTTATGCAAAATGGATTCCTCTTCTGAAGAACTCGACCGGCTGCGACTCAAAGAAGTTGGACACCCAGAGTTGGACCTTTTTCGCGGTTTGTGAATTTTCTCTCGGCCAGGGAGTTCTGCATCGACCGGAACAGATGGTAATCGATGGTGCCAGGTCTGATCTGTGTGGCGGATGAGGCAGGACTTTCCAGCCCAATTCCTCAATTTTTTTCTAGAGTGATTTTCGCCACATGTGGATGAGCGTTGTCGTGGATAAATTTTGTCGACGTCGTTTCGACACTTTGAAGACGCAGTGCTGGATCCATGCGGTTCAATTGTTGCAGATGTCCGCCGTAACCGTCTGACCCGATTCCGGAACTTCAAAGTACATCAAACCTTTGCTATTCCACCAAACACGGAGCATCACCTTTTTGCCGCGTATATCAGGTTTCGGAGTCCGTTTTGGAGGGTCACTGGAGTCTAACCACTGTCCTTTTCTCGTTGCGTTATCGAAGCAGACCCTTTTCTCATTTGATGTAATAATAGAGTCGAAAAAACCGCTGTTCTTGGAGCGACGAAGAAGAATTCCGGCCATTGCCACTCGTGTTGCCTTGTTTGCGTCGCTCAGCTTATGCGGACACGCGTCTTTCACACTTTTTTTCCCCAAAAAGCAAAGTAGACATGGACAAAAATATATCAAAAGAAGCACAATAAAAATCTCTTTCTAATAGACAAAACTGTCTCCAAAAATCTTCTATAGTAGGAGAGAAAAAAATGGACAAGTTCAAAAAATTCAACGCGCATTCCTTTCCGGACAACCTAATACAAGCAAGTTGAGAATGTTTGCAGTTAGATTATAGGGAGTCTTTACAGTAGCATCTGTTGTACTGCGACCTCGGCGAGGCCTTGGAAAACTAAAGATGATTCCTTCTAATATTATCTTCTACCATTTATCCTTTAGCGACCCGTTTTTTTTTTCACACAAGGCTAATGATCCAGTGCAGATACAAACCATGGTTCTCAATAACATAATGCTAAAGTACATGCCCAAGCTTGACTAACTGTTATATAACCTTGGGGGTGACTTTTAAAGTGCTCCTTGTGCAAAACTGGTATTCCCTCAGAGGAGATGGGAACTACCAGTTTGGCCTTAAAGGCAGTGGCACAATCTACTCGGCATTAAATGCTAGTAGGTGGCGCTATATAGTGGGGAATGGGAGGGATAGAGTGAACGGTAAATGATCCTGCGTAGAAAGGCCTCCGTTTCTCAGTGAGCTTGAAATCGAATTTCAGACGATTTCCCGTAGGCATCTTGCCAATAACCGCTACCGAAGGTACGGCTGCATATGTGTACCCATGTATGCATGCAGCATCACGGCCGCTTCATACCAATCCCTTCGCTTCATAATTTGCTTAGCAAATGAATGAATACGAGCGTCAGGAACGGTCGTCCATTTGTGGGCGGGCGGGCGTGGCGGGCGTTTGGGTCGTAATGTTGTGGCTTGATAGCCGCCTTTTATAAGGCGCCTAAACTCGGGGAAATCGCGCTAGTATGGCGCGCCTGCCGGGGTCGCGGAATTCTATCCTGCCAAGTATTGATCCTAGTTGTCTTGGGGGATTTATCGTCCCAACTATCTTTAAAGGCACAATAAACGCTCATCTGCAGGTGCATCCTTGGCATGGCCGGGTCTAAAGGGCCCGCTGTCGAAGCGTGCACTAGGGATGGGTGAACGCAAATGCGAAGGAGATCCCTTGTCGTGCGAGTAAGTGAGCGGCACTAGTTCACCAGTCTGGTATCCGCATGCCATGAAAAAAAAATGAAAAAAAAAAATGGTTTTTTCCATTCACATGACGTTGCTCTCGCTTCCGCAAAAGGAGAACTTTAAAGACAGTCCCACGGCAAAGACAATCAGTTGATGGACGTTCTCCCATGTTCAAATGGTCCAGTCCGCAGGCTCAGAAATGGTTCCACCCCACTTTTGCAACTAGAAGGTAGGTGGCGAGGGTTCTGCAACCGTCGTAAGTTCAGATTCTGACACCAGCTCAGTTGGACCGCCTTTCTCAGAATGTCCACTTTACAGCGAACGCAGTGGCGCGCAATTGTTGTTTAGTGTAGCGGCAGGCATAAATCCTGTTGCGTGTGCCTTTGCTGACAGTGTTCTTGCTCATAAAAGTATCTGCTCTCTCTTGATTATATTTTATTTGAGAGTACTGCAGATGCTCTTTAGTTTTTCTTTGCCCTAGAGGGGAGAGTCACCTGGTGGCCTATAGGCCTCGTTATTGAATGCGCTTTACCATAATTATGCAATCGGCGGGCTTGTTTTTATTTAAGCA